ACTATTTAACTTATTTCCACCATAACTCATTAAGTTATTTTTAAAAAAATAATTAGGAGTTTACTCGATGCAACTTTGCATCTCTGACTCTGCAAAACATTGCAAAAGCGTCCCTGCTGTGCTGCCACCGGTTGGTCCTATTCTGCCCATTCCTGTTTGCAAGGAAGATGCACAGAAGCGAAAAAGCCCAAACCCAGCCCCCACTTCAAGCAGCAGGTTCCTTTCAAAGCTATACTAAACTATCCTATCGAGTGTTCCCCGTATTCCTTCCCCACAATGCCAGTTCCCCGGCGCTATCCTTGCCACAGCTCAGAGAAATGAGTACAAGCAACTTGATCCAACTTTGGAGATGGCCCTGCTTGAGCAGGGACTTGGACTAGGTGACCTCCAAGGGTCTCAAAGGGCTGACAGGAGAAGAAACACAGTTAAGGTTTAGGTGAAAGCAAAGTGCTCCCCAACGCCAGACAGCCTCCCCTCAGCAACGTCTATGTCCATGTAGAGTGGAGATGCCCTGTAAAACACCAATGACATTTGCAGTAAGCAAGCTCCGGTCCTGCACACCATACACAAACACATCAAAGCAAGGATTCAGCGGGAAACAAGGGTGGGGAAGTTGCTTTATCTGGGGGAGAAAGTGCAGCTTTTTCTTCTCTGTGTAAGGCTGAAAGTAACAAAAACTCCCTGCAAAATGAAAACCTCCCTCTTCCCGCATCTCTAATCTGTGCAAGCTCTGAAGGTCTGTCTTAGGCCACTGCACCCCCAGAGAAGCGTGTGTGCTCATGGGTGCTCCCACAGGCTCACGTTAGCCAGCACAAACCAGAAGTGCCCCAGGCAGCTCCTCAGGCCCCAAAGCAGATCCTGGGGGAAACCAGTTTGGACCAGCACCATCTTTCAGGCTGAGCAGATGCAAAGAGTTGAAGCTGTGTGCCATAGCAGAAGACACTGGTCAGACAGCTCCTTAAGCCCACAGCCAGTCCCAGGTACAGACCATGCCAGAAACCCTCCTGATAGCCAGCAGAGATGCTGGTATCTCCGTATTAAACACCTGCACTTGGAAAAAGTTATCACACAACTGGCTCTGGTCATCAATCACATCACCTCTTGTTTTCTTCCTTTACATGTTATTTTTGCCCTGGATTAGACCAGGGTCTCCAAGATAGCAACTGCATTTCAACTCCCAGCACAACACAAGGCTGCTAGTTGCACGTGAAGCATCCTGCCTGACTCCAGCAGGTAGCAACAGACACCGACTGCAATGCTGGGAGAAGCAACGCTTCAGAGAAGTTGCAAAATGTATTGGCTCCACTCTTCCAGTGTGTAACTTTTTACACTGGCAAAAATACAGAAGGTGCATCCTGCACAAACTTAACAAAAATCAGACTAAAAATGCTTCCACCAGTCTCAGAAGGAAAATTTACACTAAAATATGAACAAAAATTGGTGAGTTACCCATATGCTCCCATTAGGAGTGCAGTGACTTTGCTGATCACACAGCTTATCATTCCAGAGAAATTCTGTATTCAGGGCACGAAAACTAATGTATAAATTAGCAGAAATGCAAGTAGATTTGATGGTACTTGATTAACTGGACAGTAAGCACCAGAAGCAAAACATTAAGAAACTGAAGCCATTTTGTGATTGTAGCAGGCATTTAATAAAGATGGAAAAAAAAGCAGCCATCACACAAAAACCAAGTATTTTTGGTTTGTTTTAAAGAAAAAAGTCCCCTCTTTAGTGCTAAACACGAACCCTCAGCCTGAAATAAAACAAGAGCTTTGTAAAGAGCCTTTGAACCAGGATTACTTCAACACCATCTGCGGCATCACGCAATTCAGGTAGCTTCCCAGAAGAAAGCAGTTGCTTTTACGTAACTCAGAAGCAAGTCCCTGTTGCCATCCCACTACTTGCCCCCATTCCTGACCTGTGCAGGCAGTCCACCTACGTGTCCCATCACAGACCAGTGGGCTGCTTCGTCTCCTTCCTACCAGTCCCCAACCTCACCTCCACCGAGGAGCCAGAGCCTCCCCTTTCCAGCTCAGCTGCAATCAAGGCCCAATTTGTACCCTCTTTTCTCAGGGTCTTTCAACCACCTGTGAACTTTAGCAGCCTCTCTCTCCAAAACACTTTTTTCTGAGCATGCTTACAGACCCTCATTTCCACCCTTGATTACTCTCTGACCCTCTGCTCCACTCTGGGGTAAATCCCCCACTCTTCCCGCTTGCTCTTCTCCTGTGCTTACTCCCTCTTAAGTCCCTCTCCCAAGCATACAGGCAACCAGAACCATTCCTAGTTTTGCAGCGAAGCCACACCTCACACACTGGCATTACAACTTCTCCAGCCTTTCTGGAGGTCCTTTGCAAGTGACACACAGAGATTTAGATTTGCCTTTGAGATAGTGCACAAGGCTGCTACCATCAGGTGAAACACCCGGCTCTCTCCATGGTGAGGCACTGCCTTGCCATTTTTAAGGAAATCTTCCAGCTCATCAGCAATCCAACACCATGCCTGCTGAAGCTGCAAGAGTGGCCAGTGCAGGCAACCAAGAGCCTCCCCACAAAGACAGCAAGTTATCCCCCCCTGGCCTTACTCACGCACACCCATCCAAGAAACTCCGTTGCAACTAACAGGAGCCTTTCCACACAGGCTTTGACTGAGCTGAAACTCCACCCTTTCTCAGCAGTTGCAGTTCATTTGTTCTGTAATTCAGGGCAGCACAGCTTTGAAAATGTCCTTCTGATGGCGTTTTCCTGCAAAAGGCATAACGAAGAATAATAAGCAGGTGCTTCTAAACACAAACCCAGAACAGCAGGAGCATAAAACTACTACAAATGAAGCAATTAAGTAACCACACTGTTCGCTGTTTATTGACAATCTTTATTAGAGCTGACTTTCCATGTTTAGATGTTTCCTAGTAAGTATAAATAGGAATCAAAGTGCTACCCCACAGTAAGAAATCTTTATTTGCACAAAAAGATACAAACAACTAGTATTTCAAAGTTCATCCTATTTAGTACATATAATATCAAAAAGGCAAAAATAAACAAAGATGAAAGACTAGCAGCAAAAAGAATTCTAGTTCTCCTTCAACACAGTCTGTGTTCTTCCACATTTCTCTAGGAAATAGAGTATAAAGAGAATTCAATCAATTTATATATGAAATATCCTACCAAAAATATAACACTGTGTAAGGAAAGTTAGTAATATAAAGTTTGGGGGGGGAAAAAAAGGAGAAAGTAGTAGATGTAACATTAAAAGTCTCAAGTGTAAACTTTACTGCTGCTTTAAAATAAAAAACAACAAAAGTCACATGAGTATTTCCGTTTGGCTTAGCAGCCAGGAAAATAAGAAAAGCTGATTTTTTTTTTTTTAAAGTGCTTAACCACCATATCCAAAAGTAATGACTTTCAGACCTACTTAACATGAATGTGCTCAAAAAGCCACTGCTTACAGTATAAAAGCTGTCATTCTGAAATGCTGCACATACAAACTGGCTTTATCTGCACGAATGAAAGATTGCTTTGAACAGCTCTCAATCATATGATGTCCCAAATCAATGTAATGCTATTAGAGCAGGCAGCTGAATAAGTCCCAGAAAGTTGAAGTTTAAGAATAATAGATATAAAAAAATAATCTTTTTTTTTTTAAAGGCAGCATGCCTCTCCCAGCCGCAAGAAGGTAACTTTATGTAACAATCAAGAGAAACACAGGTTTCTATAATTGTTATAAACTACCTAGAACAAACTGACTGTTGACATAGTAATTCACATGTTTAACAGTGGGAGAGAAATACTTTTTACTGATAAAATACAAGAAGGCAGTCATGTGGGTGGGAGCAATAGCTAACACAGTATTTTACTTAATATTAAACATACTGTCAACTTGATAGTATGTCCTAACTCAAAAAAAACACAAAAAATAACAAAAAACCCAAGAAAACCAATGACTTGAAGAACTTTAGGACTATTTTGTTACATTGTTATATATTTATTTGAGCCTCAGTGCAAAGGAAAAATTTAACATTCTAGGCTCCAAAGCAAGTCAAATACTTAAGACTATTTCATAGGTTTTTTTGACAGATGTCAGACACACAGGTTCCAAGAGAAATTTAATTTTTTTAGCTGTAATGGCCATTCATTTTTATCTCACAGTTAGAAAACACATTTAAAAATGGGAGCAAAGACTCTGGCATTCGTTAACCTCAAGTACAGCTATAAATCATTTCAACCCCACCAGTCTCCCAAACCGGGACTATTATAACCAAACTGAACCATCGGTATTGCTGCAGCTGTTGAATTGTGCCCACAGCCTGTCAGTAGCACTATCGATTCCCACGGTTATTGTACGGATTTCTCCATCAGCTTTGGAATCCTGCAAGCTTGAATTTGTTCACATTCATCTATTTCACAGGCCTAATTTTTGAAACTATTTCTTGAAAGCCATCAACTCCCAATACAGTGTCTTCGCTGTCCTTCAGGACAGTTTTTAAGTTAAAGAAGCCCCTGGTTCACTTACTGCT